AATGCAAACAAAATTACCTGCCAGGGAGAAAATGTCACCTTTGCCCCCTTGTTCCCTGGCTGCATTTCTAAATCTTGTAGAAGCATCTCATGTACACTGTGGGCCACAACATACACAGCATTGTATATGTTGTAACTCCCATCACTCATGGTCATGTCAAAATGATGTGGAGGCAACCATTCCAAGGAGGCATTCAGTGGACATTTCTTCAAGGTGTTGCAGGATGCCCCTGAAACTGAGCAACCAAAAGCCAGTGACCAGAATCTAGAGAGATAATTGTCTTCTGGATATTTGGAAGGATTAGCTGTCCGAAGAAAGTTTTTGAAACCAGAGATCTCGCTATGGTGGTGAGAAAAGTTCAGAGTCCCATGGAATGAATGGAGCAAGAAATGTCCCTCAGAACTGGCAGAATCCCATTGTGAGGTGGTGACCCAGACTTTCCATGTCATTACATGTTCCCATGTTGGAAAGCTGATGCCTATGAGGGAATCAGTGTCACAGAAAAGAATCACCACATTTGCTGATGATTTTAGGATCTGGATATAAAACCTTTTCTGGAGTGAAATACATGACTCCTCAGTGTCTGGGATCAATTACACAAAGTCCACACAGATGCCATTCTTCTGCATCTCGACTTTCAAATTGGACATAAACTGAATACCTTCTGGGAGGTCTGAGATGGCCAAACCAACCCAGGTCCAGCTGTAATGAAGCATCAAGGAGACCATGCCAAGGGCCAGAGAAGTGTCTTTGGGTGCCATCTGATAGAGGGAAGGAAACTGACCACTGTCACTCAGAAGCAGTTCAAAAGACCCAAGAGTCAGCTAAGGGAAATGGCAGGAAATCTGTGTAAGTTTATTGCTATAGTGTGCAATCTCAGTCCTGGAAAAAATTATACAAATGTGGGAAGCGTCAGAAGATATTAGAATATTCATTTTACTCATATCCACTACATCAGAACTCCCTAGTTCATGAGCCATTATACTCAGAGGTCAAAGAAAACATTTCACATAATAACTCACCCACATCTACTTCAGAAGAAATGTGGCTACTCCAACAAACTTCTGCACACCTCCTCTTAGCATTTCACACATTGGTAAATGCACAATGGCTTGGTCTTTTCACCTTTTGTGATATAACTCAGGCAACTAATATGATGTGCTTTTATCCCTCTCTTTCCCTTACACACTCACCTCTGGAATTTTGTAGAGTTCCAGCAGTGTCCCCATTTGGACAGCAATGCTTGTTCCAGATATTACTACTACAGACTTGCTCTGTTTCCTACATGTGTAATTAGGAACCTCCTTTTCCAGGCCCACAAGCCAGAAGAAGGGATTCTCCATCATCATCACTTCACTATGCATGAAATTGTAGAGATCAAATCCCAAGGTCATGTTGGGTAAAGAATTTGGATTCTTGTTGATCTCCTCAATGGTAAAAACCAAGGCCAGAATGTACTGGTAGTTGTTGGACTGAAACCTACATGAAAGGCACAGGGATCTTTAAAGGAAATCCTCCAATCCAGATTATCATCAATTCTACTACCGTAATGATACAAACTAAGACTGTCAGGCCAAAAATTCATGTTCTTATCCTTCTCTGTACTATGACTATTATATCATTGTGAGGTAATTAAGTTACATAGGTTCTTTATTATACACCTCCTATGAATGGGATTAGTGTCCAAATGGGAATGCAGACAGAATTTGCTCCCTCTCTTCTGGTGAAGCCTGTCATATTTGCAGCAGGACACATGTCCTCACCAAACAAATTTCTACTACCTTGATCCTGGACTTTCAGTCTAAACCAATTCTGAAAAATAAAATCTGCTTTTACACCATAGTGTCTTGAACATATGATCACATGGGGGTCCATGCTGTCAAGAAAATAATCTGATTTTTGGATGTATAGCTCATCAATTCATCTATGGCAAAATCTACCTCTTCTAAGTTATTAGATTTGATTCTAAAGTAAATATTACAACAGGCTCTGAATGTCCTCTCTAAAATCTTCACACTTAGAAAGAAGATTCAACTTGTAAATGAAAGCATGAACAAAGGAAAGGCACACCATCTTTAGCACTGTCTCTATAAATGTTTCCTATATTCACAATCTACAATGATTCTTCATCTTATCACATCAACAAATGCTTCTTGAAATAGGACCCATATGATCAGAAGGCTGCAGGCTGTAATAAGAAAGAGAGTAACCTGTGATCAGAAAGGGGGATGATGTCAGAGCACTAGAATGGTGGATGGAAGCCTGGAATTATCCAGAAAAGTCTCTTCCCCTTCAAATTTACCCATCAACAACCATCACAAGCCAGAAAAATAAAATCACATTCAGAGCTTGCAAGAACAGTGATAAGCGAAGAACACTTTAGAAAGCCTGAAATACTCACTGAGTGGACCTTGAAACACTAGACGACAAGACCCGTAACATTTTCTTGAAAAAAGATTTCTTTATTATTTGAAAGAGCCACAAAGAAGTAGAGACAGACAGTGAGGTCTTCCATCAGCCAGTTCACTCCCCAGATGACCACAATGGCTGGAGCTGAGCTGATCTGAAGCCAGGAGCCAGGAGTCAGGAGATTCTTCTGGGTCTCCCACACTGATATAAGGGACCAAGCACTTGGGCCATCTTCTACTGCTTTCCCAGGCCATAGCAGAGAGCTGGATCTGAAGAGGAGCAGCCCTGGCTAGAACTGGCACCCATATGGGATGCCAGTGTTTCAGGCCAAGCCATTAACCACTACGCCACAGTGCTGGCCCCGAGACATAGCACTTACAATTAAGACAGTCATCCATTTGTTTAGAACACTAAGCATATGTTAAAATAAATCATTACCATTGGTATCAGTATTTACTTCCAACTAGCCTTTTTCACTCAGTTTTTCCTATGGAATTGAACATAGTCTCCCATGCAAAGAACATGATGCATCTATGTCTGAGGGTGTGACATTTCAGCAAGAACCAAGATGAAGATCCCCTTTCAGTTTTTTCAGAGGCCCTGTGTGTTGAGTATTGAAGAGTAGACTAGGTCATGTTGACTGCTTGTTATTGGTCACTGTGTGCTAGAGAAGTGACAGATTTTCATTTTTTAGTTCATTCATTTTGCCTTATAAGTATGTATGTATGTATATATATTATTTATAAATAGTTGTCTAAAACCATATACAGTTGCTATATATAGTTATATACATATTATTACTATAATATTTGTTATCCAAATATCTGATGCATAGTTTCATGTTGAATGAGAAAAATTGAAAATCCTTGCTAAAGGACCAAATAATATTCAGTTTTGTACTTCATATTGCCCAGTTCCTCCCCTCATTTTTCTACTCTGCCCTCAATTCCTCATTCTCTTTATTTCTTCCTCCAACTCCTCTCTGGAAACAAAGGGTCTATAAGTCTTTTGGCACACTGGGTACTTGTGAGAGTTCCTTTTTTGTGCTGTTTTAGAATGTCTTCCTTATATCTAACAACAGTTTATCAGTATTTATTGCAATATTCTCAAGTTGGTGAATCTAACGGTGGTGGTTATAGTGTCTAAATGTATTTTTAGTTCAATCTTATTGCTTTTTCAAATGCCATCAACACAGTTGTTGACTTGACTATGAGCTCCAGTTTGCATGCCATTCATGTGGGAGGAACCTGGGCTCTATTCATAGAAGCTTTCCTGCTACTGGAAACTCACTATATCCTGGTCTCCATCATTTCAGGGTACACTTAAGTGATGTAGTGCATGCCTAACTATGAGGAATGCTACTACTACTACCAAATAAGTATTTCATAAATGGGATGCCATGTGCACATATCAATTTAGGGAATTTATAAAAAATCAATATGAAGAGAATAATATCATTATATTGAGCTAGTACCCATTAGATTATTTCTGGAGAGATCATTGGACACATGCCTAAGATACTTAATCAGTGGCATCACCTTGGTGGCACCAACTATGCTTCTCAAATCCATTGTCTTTAATGATACCACACCATCTATGTCCTAATAGCTACCTTCTATCAAAGATCTACACAGGGTCAACCTGCTTACTCCATCCTACCTACTGTAACATTACAGTAGAAAACAATTAGAAAATTAGCACCTTCCAAAAAAGATGTTCAAACAATTACACCATTCTACCAGATACAATATTCTGTAGGCATGAAATTTTCAGATGTGTGTATGTGTATGGGTGTAACACTTATATTTAGCTAAAAAGAAAAACCTACTAAGGAGGGATAGAAAAAAAAAACAATCCCCCTTCTGAAATGTCTGTTTTTGTCCAGAAAAAGAAAGATACAGGGACTCAACCTGAATTTTGTATTTTGGAACCATTAGAATTCACATAGGTCACATTCCCTATTAAAATATATTTAATATTATATTTTTGCAGAGGTGTTGCCCAGTTACTATTAACTGGTAAAAAATTTATTTTCTTATGTATTCTTTCTTCTTCAGGACTGTAGGAGAAATAAAGCATTCTCATGGCCCCAAATCTAGAAAATAGCAGAAAAGTTTGTGAGCACATGTGGAAGAGCTCATGGTAACCCAGGTTTCTCATTCATTTCAGCGCACTGGTTATGAAAGTCTTCTGATGAGCACAATAGGTCCCTGAGCTGATGAACATGGACAGGGGGGACAGGAAGAGCAACAACGAGACTCTCCTCTCCAAATCTGATGAGACAACCTTTTCCAGAACCATTCAGGTGCCAGAAAAGGAAGAAAATGTCTTCATCATTCCCCAAATTAATTATCAGCAGTTTCTAGGAGGGACAAAATGTGGACAAGGCAGGGACACAGAACACACTTTTCCAACCATCTGCAGACCATATAAAAAGCTAATATGTAAATCAAGGGAAAAACGATTAAAACAGAGAACTTACCCTTCACATATGAGATTCTTTTGAAAACATTCATGAATGTATCAGTGAGATATGTGTAAATGGGGGGAAAATGCAGCAATCACAGTATCCCCATCCTTGTAAAAACTGCATTCCATCTTGAGAAAGCAGTTGGGATCATCATGATAAGTCGCAAGGAAAAATACCTGCAGAAAGAGCAACAGAAAAATCAAAGCAAACATCTTTCAACTTTGTGAAAAGCCCTAGGACACAATGGCAGTGGAACATGCAGTGCTAGGCAGGAGTATACATGAAGCATATGTCTGGGTGTGTATGCCTATGTGGTGTATGCTCTCATCATATGCATGTGTGACTGAATCAAAGCTACTTTAATACGGATCCACCTGACTTCTTTCAACCAGCTGTCCATCCATCCATGGGGTTTCTGGAACCTTTTCTGCCCTGAGGCTCTGCAGCTGAGGTCTGCTGTCCAGCTGAAAATTAAGGAAAATATGTTTGGAAAACATCCTCTTCACCTTCAGGGGAATAATTACCTACAAGTTCATGAATACAAAGACCCAAGTGAGGAACTCTTACTGGTTACATGTGGTCCAAAGGCACTGTCAATAAACTCTCCATGAAAACTTTTTCCAATTATGTACCACAGAAGCACTATGGGAGGCATCAGGTGAAGGTCTGTGATGGCCCATCTCAGTCAGGATTCAGACAAGAAAACTCCAGTATCACACACTTCAAAGGCCCAAAGAGGAAGGCAGCATCCTCCACACCCAGGGTTCATGGCAGCATACACAGCCTTAATGTACACAGACCCCAAACCAATCCTGTTTACAGAGATACGAGTACGTGTGTGTCAGCAGAGTCCTAGGATGACATTCGCAGTGAATAACACTCTGACATCAGAATTAACCTTTAAGGCTTCCTGGTCAGGCTGAAAGGCCTGTGAGAGCATTTGAGGTATGAAAAGCCAAGACTTTATGACAAAAAATATCCTGCATGGAGGATCTCTGTGAGACCTCAGAGGAAAGAAAGTGTCATCAAAGAAGGAGACATTCTTCTCTGAAGGGAGGAATGAACATCCACTGTGCTTATGGCCATATCCAAAGACCAGTGGAGTCTATGTTCACAAAAGGCTTCCATAGCCTTGGCAGCCCATGACAAGAGCCTCATGATGACTGACATCATAAAAAAGAGTGTTAATTGTTTAAGGATCAACAGTAGTCACTGTGAACTTGCTCCCCATGTAGGACCCCTGTTCCTATTGAATTGCAATATGAGAACCAACTACAAACTTTCTCCCCAAATTGTACTCTATATGTTGTGTGTCTGCATAGGTGCAAATTGTTGAAGTCTATTATTAGCATGGAGTTAGTCTTCTGTATATAAAGTCATACTAAAAATGAACCATAATAAAGAAGGAGATGGGAGAGGGAGAGGGAGATGGGATGGGAGCTGGAAGGGGAGTATGGGGGAAAGAACTACCATATTCCTAAAGTTGTATCTATGTAAAATTGCATTCATTAAATAAAAATTTTAAAAAGCGGGCGGCACCGTGGCTCACTAAGCTAATCCTCCGCCTTGCAGCGCTGGCACACCGGGTTCTAGTCCCGGTCGGGGAGCCGGATTCTGTCCCGGTTGCCCCTCTTCCAGGCAGCTCTCTGCTGTGGCCAGGGAGTGCAGTGGAGGATGGCCCAAGTACTTGGACCCTGCACCCCATGGGAGACCAAGATAAGCACCTGGCTCCTGCCATCGGATCAGTGGGGTGCGCCGGCTGCAGCGCGCTGGCCGCGGCAGCCATTGGAGGGTGAACCAATGGCAAAAGGAAGACCTTTCTCTCTGTCTCTCTCTCTCACTGTCCACTCTGCCTGTCAAAAAATTTTAAAAAAAGTATGTGTGGGTTTTACTTACTGTGGAAACAGTAATCACCCTGAATTCCAAAGTTCCCAATCAATATATCAAATCATTGCTCCTTCAGTTCTAAAACACAAAAAGTGTCCATACTGCTGTTACCCATGCTAACATTTGTTCTTGCTCCTACAACCTTGATGTATGCTCTTAAGAAAACTATAGACTACTTGAGGAACTCTCCCTTTTTACTGTAATCAAAAAATGACAGCTAGAAGTGACTTTATTCCCACCACCATAATACCAAGGGCAGAATGGTGCCTGAGGATATCTGCATTCTTCAATGCAAGCGATTTTCAGGACTACTATGTAGGACATAATCATGGCAACTACATGCTGTGAAACCTTGTCAAAACCCATGGTGAACACAATGTATACTATGTTCTGTAGGCAACAATGATAATCAATATTGATTAATCATTTGTGCTACTTAGCATACCGGTATGAGATGTCGCTAATGGAGAACAATCTAACAAAGAGGGAGATGGGAGGGAATATGAGAATTCTACTATTCTAGTCACAATTTTTCTCAACTCAAACTGCTGTAAATGACATGTCTAATAATTTTAAGCAAAACACATTTTCCATTGCCTAGCCACTGCCACTACTGAGCATTTGAATAGTGTCTAGTGCAAATAGTGATGCAGTATAGGCACAAAATGCATACCAGAATTCAACAACTTCCATGAAAATGAAAAGATAATATCATGAAAACATGATTTAGATTACTAATACAATGAAAAAAAATATTATCTATTCAGTTGAAAAAGAGAAGTACTTTTAAATCAGAGAGTGAGTACCACCTGTTCTTGCTAATGCGTAGAAACTCTAGAGTCAGTCTGAATGTACATTATGCATTGAGCAAATGCTTGGAAGGGAGAGGATGAACTGCATGCACATAAGGAGTCCTCAGAAAATTCATGGAAAATAGGTTATTATGAAAAATTACTCCTAGATTTCAAAATAATTTGCACCCAGATACACTCATCGTTAATATCCATTTCCATAGTTTCTGATGTCCTCTGTACACACTCTACACATTGACTGAAATATCGCAGCACAATTACTGAGTGTTAATCAGAACTTAATACATGTGTTTTGAAGGAGTTGGCACTGTGGCATAGTGGGCTAGTTCTCCTCCTGTGGCACCAGCTTCCATATGGGCACCCACTCTTGCTCCAGCTGCTCCTCTTCCATTCTAGATCGCTGCTTACAGCCTGGGAAGGCAGTGGAGGATGACCCAAGTGCTTGTGCCCCTGAGCTTGTGTGGGAAGCCCAGGGAAGCTCCAGCTTCTGACTTCAAATCCTCTTTGCTGCAGCTACTGCAACCATTTGGGGGGTGGAATTGTGGATGGAAGACTGTTGTCTCTGTTTCTTCCTCTTTCTGTGTGTAACTCTGCCTCTCACATAAGTAAATGTAAATATCTTTCTAAAACATGTGTAAGGAAATAATAATGCTAACTTGATTTAACCATCTGCTAAACACATGCCTGTTTTTCCATGACTGAAGTGGTTGTTTCTGTTTATTTAGGAAGTAAGTTCACTAATTTAGACTACACGAACCTAATTTGGTCATGGTATACACTTTTTATAGAACATACCTGGAGATAGAGTAGCATATATGAATTTCATTCAGGACAGAAAACAGTCTGTCAATTTTGTCTTGTAATCATGTGGTCAGATATGGATACCAAAGTTAAGCTATTTTCATGAAAGGGATGTATTTCTTAAAAAAAGATTTATTTATTATTTGAAAGGCAGACATAGAGAGTGAGGGAATGATCTTCCATTTGCTGGATTGAAAGTGGAACAACTGAGAGTTAGAGTGGCACCCACATGGGACTCTCATGTCACATACAGTGGCTTATCTCACTATGCCACAGCACTCACCCATCAAAGGAATTAATTATAACTATTTTTCCTATGAATTTACTTTAATGAACATGATACCCCTTTTAGTATTTGCTGGAATTATCCATAGGAGCTAACATTCACCATGAAAACTATTGTAAACTTTTTAACTGTGAACTGATTTTCTTTAATTCATACAGAAACACTGGATTTTGGGTGAGCATTATGGCACAGCAGGTACAGGCAACATCTAAGATGCTGGTGTCCCATGCAGGTACCTGTTAGTCCAAACTGCTCCAGGAGCAAAGAAGCACACTTCTGTGCTAAAAGCCACCAGAGAAAAAAAAATCAACTAGTATTTCCACACATGCCTAAAAATAAATGAAAAATTCAGTAAACAATAAGGAAGAGAACATGTGCAAGCCAAAGTAAAAACAATATTGAAACTGGAATATGAAGAGACTGAAAAAATGCATGAAATCAAATTCAAAATATAATCCATAGGATTCCTCAGAAGCCACGAGCAAGATTCATGAATTATATCTATAAATGACATGAATAAGTTTCCCATTAAAATGAAATTCTGAAGAGAAATAACAAATGAAATCTTAGAAGTGAAGAATTCAATATGTCAAAACAAATACGGTGGGCTATGGGGGGGGAGCCAATGTAATCCATGAACTGTACTTTGGAAATTTATATTTATTAAATAAAAGTTAAAAAAAATACAGTGGAACGCCTTAAAAACAATCTTGATGAAGAAGTAGAAAGTACACCCGATGTAGAACACATAATTTTTAAATTTTTTGGTGAGAAAATAAAGGAAGAAAATAGAAAAATTAAAAGTGTTGAAAAATTATGGGACACTATTAAGTGACTGATACACGTCTCAGGAGCTGAGAGGCAGCGGTGAGAGTAACGCAGCGCCCTCCTCGCGGCTGGGCCAGCCCGGCACCCACAGAGGTCCTCCCTATGCAGCCTTGAGACCAGAGGAGGTCACGCCAGGCGGCGCCACTTCCCGCTGCCACAGCCACCTGCTCTGCACGCGTTTCCTGAATCCTCCGCCTGCAGCGCCAGAACCCCGGGTTCTAGTCCCAGTCGGGGCACTGGATTCTGTCCCGGTTGCCCCTCTTCCAGGCCAGCTCTCTGCTGTGGCCCAGGAGGGCAGTGGAGGATGGCCCAAGTGCTTGGGCCCTGCACCCGCATGGGAGACCAAGAGAAGCACCTGGATCCTGGCTTCGGATCGGCGAGGCATGCCGGCTGCAGCAGCCATTGGGGGTGAACCAACGGCAAAAGGAAGACCTTTCTCTCTGTCTCTCTCTCTCACTGTCCACTCTGCCGGTAAAAAAAAAAAAAAAAGAAAAAGAAAGAAGTGCTTTTATCTGATATGAGGTTAACAGAGTACTATGGCATAGAATACCATAACCTTAGCTTATTTATTTTTAAATTTGTTTATTTTAAATTATGCATATATTATGCATTCTAAATTTCCTCAACTGGAAGCAGAAACAGTTGTTAGTATTAGGGTGACTTATCATCCAATCATAATGGGAAAATTTTACTTTACTTGAAGTCTTCTCAGACTTCAGCGCCTCCCAAGACTTCTGGCGTGGGCTGAAGAACCAAATAGGGACTAGCGATGGCCGGTGTGCGGATGTCTGCTAATTCCCAGTATGGCAGGGAGGCGCCAACTTGAGAGGCTCCACACAAAGAGCCCCTG